ACATATATATACAAAACATTGTGGGAAATATAAATATGAATTAAGTGACTCTGATTTAAAAAATAAAAATAAGATGTACAGCATTTGATAACAGACAAATATTACATGTAAAAAATCATTTAGGAAAAACATTTTCAACTAAATAGCTTTACAGAAAACAATGCAGTGGAAATACTGTAATAAACCACATGTCCTATATTAACTACTGTTGTTTAGTTGTTAAGTCATGTCTGACTCTTTGAAACCCCATGTACTGCAGCATGCCAGGCTTCCCTGTCCTTCACTATCTCCCAGAGTTTGCTCAAATTCACATCCATTGAGTCGGTGATGCCTCCTTACCATCTCATCCTCTTCCCTCTTCTCCTTTTGCCTTCAAATATTAATTACAGCCAACATTTACTAATTACCTGTAAGTATTTTCACATAGTGGGGTCATTCCTGGTGACTCAGTGGTAAAGAACCCATGGGTTTGATTCCTGAGTTGGGAAGATCCCCTGGAGGAAGAAACAGCAACCTGCTCCATTCTTGCCTGGGGAATTCCACGGACGGAGGAGCCTGGCAGGCTATAGTCCATGGGGTTGCAAAGAGTCGGACATGACTTAGTGACTGAGCAACAACTTTCACATAGATTATCTGTTTTATCCTTCAGAGCAGTCCTACAGTGTAGATATTATTTTTAGGTATATTTTGAAAATGAGGAAACTAAAATTTGGAGAAATTAGGAAAATTTGCCAAAGGTCATACATCCAAGTAGGAAGGATGAAATCTGAAGCAATTAGGATCCAAATTAACATTTATTAGGTATTTGATATGTACTTAGGCATTGTAATAAACAACATTTGTGCACTATCTTATTTGAATTCAAGAGGCAAGTGCCTATAATTGGCCCTTGGGAGGAGATTTTTAAAAGGCCATGTTTCCAGCTTTTGGAAATTCATCATCTGTACCTCCCTCTAAGTTAATGAGCAAAATAAAGCAAGGCTGTCAAATCCTTCCCCCCACCCTCCCAGCCCCAGGATTTTGAGAGCTTCCGGCTTAAAAGAATTAAGAGGCAACCATCCATGTGCGCCCATGTCACATAAACATCATTTTTCATCCATAATGGAAAAAACTGCTATGTGGACCTGCCAGGTAGTTTTAATTAAGTTTACAATTTCCTCCCACCTCTTTTAGAACAAATATTTCATGAGAAAACAAGGAGAGAAAAATTGTGTAGATAATTTTCAAACAGCTTTGAAATTGCCTTTGTTTTTGTTTGTTCTTGTTTTCCAAGTGGGAGGGGAAGTTTAACATCTCAAGTTGATTTCGACTGGGGAAGCTAAAAAACTAACCTGGGGAAAGATAAAGTTTTCCTGAAACTGAGACTTCAAAAAACATGATGGAATCAGTTCTGGATGGCTCAATTCCAACAAAAAACTAAAGAGGCATCATGGGAAAAATATAACATACAGCACATATTAGTAAGAGTCAATAGTACACAATCTAGGTAAAAAAGACTATTTCTACTGCATGTTTTCAAGAGAAGCTACAACATCAGAGTCATCCCAAAAGAATAAATTAAAATTAAAAAATTATTATAACATCATACCTATTATATGGCAGAGTCTTAGAATCTGCTGAAACTAGGGATTATTCTCTTCTCTCGCTAGGCAATGAGATTAAAATTTCAGGTTGCTGAAAATAGAAAGTAACCAGAGGATTGGTACTGTTCCTTAACTTCCTTTCAGAGAGAATGTAGAGAATATTTATATACTATTCATTGTTTATAGCTTTAAGTCAAAGGTGGGATTTCTGTGAATGTGAGTTTGATGTATGAAGCAGGGCACCAAACTCCAATGCTCTGAGATAACCTGGAGGAACAGGGTGGAGAGGGAGGTGGGAGGGGGCTTCAGCATGGAGAAGTCCTATGGATTCATACTGATATACGGCAAAAACCACCACAATACTGTAAAGTAATTATCCTCCAATTAAAATACAGAAATAAATATTTTTTAAAAAAGACTTCTGCCTCCATAATTACAAGAGAACACATTTTGTTGTTTTAAGCCATCCAGTTTTGGTCATTTGTTATGGAAACTAATATAAGTTTTTCACAAGGAAATTTGCATGTTTTATGTCCATTTCTGGAAGGACTCATAAACTCTAGGGTAAATGGCTTAAAGACAACTGTTATCAGTTTTAAAATCATCAAGATAAGGAGTTACATGGTGATGTAACAATTCCTGGTGATTTTCCCAAAGGTTCCCCTTAACAGCCAGGCACTCTCTCTGTCCCCTGAAGACTTTTTAAGTCTCTATGGGTGAAGTAGATGCAAAGTAAAATAATGAAAATGTAGAGATACAGTATGTGTTTTCTAAGTCTACCTACACTTAACCTCTCACCAATTAACTTATTCTATTTCCTTTTAAATCATAAGCTGCAAATCCCCACATCACGCTGAACGTGCATGCTGAATGATGAAGGGTTAGAAAGCCACTCTCCAATGAGTCTGCCCACTTCTGCTCCTACCAGTGAAAATTGTACATGTGACAATGTCACTTGTGTTTGTTCTCAAACCTGTTTATGCCAGTTGAACCTGTCACTGTGTTTTCACAATTTAATTAAATATTAAGTAAACCAATGTAATAGTGTGGGAAAAAAATTTGTTATTTTTTTCCCCAATTATTTTTATTAGTTGGAGGCTAATTACTTTACAATATTGTAGTGGTTTTTGCCATACATTGACATGAATCAGCCATGGATTTACATGTGTTCCCCATCCNCTGCATTGGCAGGTAGGTTTTCTACCGCTAGCACCGCCTGGGAAGCTTCATTTTCCTCTTAAAAGAATGATATTTTGAGAAAGCTTAGCTGATAGTTAGGAAGTGTACTTTATTGTTGTACTATGACGCAGAACTCTAATCTGGAGGCCATGTACAAAGGAAAGGCTGTGGCAAAAGGCTGTGCCACTCAACAGACTAGCAAACAAGCACGTAGTTGTTTCAGGTTAATAAAAGAACCTTTAAGGTATTATGGTATACATTTTATACTTTTTCATGACTGGTTTAACTTTCCTTTGAAACAGTTTTATTAGATATAATTTACATACTACCATGTTCGTATTTATGAAGTATACAATTTAATGTTTAATAGACTTTTTCAACGTATTGCTTGGTTATGGATCCAGACTGCATCTATGAATGAGCTTCTCCTGTAAAAACAAAATGCTAAAAGAAGTAGTTGATTGTGCTTGGTGAGGGGGTGGGGCTTCAAGGAAGGTTATATTTGAGCTTGGAGGGTCTTGAACAAGTAGCTGTTTTTTAAAAAATGTATATATAGAGAACAGTGTTCTAAGTAGAAGAAATAGTTTATGTAAAGGATGAAATCATATGGTGTTCCAAGGAACAGCCTTTAGTTTGAGTAGTTTGGTAATAGGGAAGTCATTTTTTCAAATCTAATTATGCATCTGAATCATCTGTAGAGATTAAAGCAAAACAAAAAGCAAAGCAAAACAGGCTGAGACTTGACTCCTTGAGTTTCTGATTCAGATGTGTATCTGGAGGTGGTACAGAGGGGTGGTCCCTGCATTTCTGCTTTTTTAAAATTCTACTTGTAGTTCTGATGTGCAGCCAGCATTGAGAGCCACTGGAGTGGGGGAATGGGGATGAGATGAGTGTCAGATCAGGCCAAAGTCCAGGACCAGATGGTGAAAGGAAATGGTTTGTAAATACAATATAATGACAAACTTTCTCTTCCCTGATGGCTTCTCTATTTTAAAATATTTCTTTTTTAACTTGTTTACTGTTGCATGACAGGAAATAAATGCTCATCATCTATAAAAACAGACATAAATGTTTTAACCCAGTGTTGTAACTAAAGACCTCCATTTTGTTTACAGTGATGTTCAACATAAAACAAGCTTGGGACAGAGTGGATCAGGTGTAACACCTACCACTCAGTGCTCTTAATAAATGTTCAGAAAAATAATGAAAATACAGTTTTGGGGGGAAAAAAATCTGCCAGATACTGAAGAGTGGGTTCACTGATGGGTGGATTGGTGACCTCATTCTCTACTCAAACAGAATAGCAGTAGTCTCAGTTCCCAGTGCTCTAATAAACTCCCAGATTGCTGAGATTCTTTCTTTCAGGGAAACATTCTTCAGAACTTATCATGTGAGCAACTGTCAGAAAAAAGGGACTCCTTCCTTCCATCATAAACAGTGCCACAGGAAGCACCTTGTCTCCTACGTTTGAAGGTTGGAGATATTTTCCCTTTGGCCATAGAATCTGCCATCTACATAGGTAGGAGCTGTTCAGTATTTTAAAATAAATAAATGTTACGCTCTTTGAGGGGAGAAAGGGAATGCTAATTTACATTCTTATCACAACTCTTAAGGTCAGTGCCTTCTAATTTTCTATGCTTGGCCCATATTTTTATAAGGACATCGGTTTATCCACACACGTGAAGGAGCTATTAAGTCTAGTAAACAAGTTAGGCGGGATCAGCAAAAAAGGCAAAGGAGGGTTCAGTCAACTTGTTTCTGGAAACAAAGCCAAACAGTAAAGAAGAAAGAAAAAAAAATCTGCCTGAGGAGGCGCAGTATGTGAACTTGGACGCGACACAGTGCCANCGCACGCTCGCGGCCTCTGGGTCTCGTTCAGGCTCAGGACCGGGGCCGGCAGACGCCTCAGAGCTCGAGCTCGCCGCCGAGCGTGCAACCGAAAGTGACGGAGGACTGACTCGGGTGTGCGCCCGACCGTCAGAAAGGCCCGCAGGGGCGGCAGGAGTCGGGGCGAGGGCCCGGCGTGTGGGCAGCGGCCGACCCGCGGGGCCGAGCGTCGACCGGGCGGTGGCCGAGGCGTTCGTCGTGAGGCGTTACTCGGTGCGGAGCGCGGGGGTCAGGAGGGGCAGAGGCTGACACCGGAGGGGTCGCCAGAGAGAGCGCGGCAGCCCGGACGGGCGGGCAGGGGCCGGGGTGAGAAGGCGTGTGAGTGTAGTGGGGGGTGAGGAGAGCGGGGCGGGGGTGCGCACGTGATCCAAATGGCAGTTGCTTGCGTGATCGTTGGACCGAGTGCCGAGTGTTAATGTAACGAGGTGCTGCCATACCTGTGACTCCTGGAGGCAAACCTGTCGGTCATCTCTGCTCTTAACCTTCAAAACGGACTTTTTTTTTTTTAATTGAAGTACAGTTAATTTACAATATTAATGTTGGGTTCAACATGGTGAGTCAACATTTTTATAAATTATGCCATTTAAGGTTATTCTCAAATACTGGCTGTATTCTCTGTGGTGTACAATATATCCGTGTAGCTTATTTATTTTATACAAAATAGTTTGTATCTTAATCCCCTTACCCCTATCTTGCCCCTCCCCGCCTTCCCTCAACCTGCTGGTAACAGCTCATATCTGTGAGTCTGTTTCTGGGGGAAAAAAAAAAAAAATTTTTTTCTTGAAAAAAAAAATAGAAATTAAATTTTTTTAAAATTTTAAATGCAACTCCAATTAATCTTTTTGAACTTAAGGCCCAGGTATTTCGTAGGAAGGGATGTGACCTAACAAGCCTGTCATGTCAGGATTAATGATGTATCAATGATAGGTTGACACCCTGTAATTAAAAAACAGTACTTCCTCTAAGTCAATAAGTAATTCCCTGCTTAAAATTTACTATCTGAAAACAAAACAAAACCTGTTGTTCTACTAGAAAGATGTACATTCACAAAATGAATTAAGAGCTGGCTTTGCTCTCATTGTCATGGTTCTCTTCTGATAAATAGTAGATTAGCTTTTCTGGGAGGAGTCCAGGTTCACTATTCTGATTACATTTTTAAATCAATGCAATTCTTCTGTTTACCCATCCACAAGTTTCTGTTGTAACTGTAACTATGTTGATATAATTTTGCATTCGTACTTATGCTAATTTTTCTTTACAGGTGAATTTTGGGGGACACAAAAACTTCATTGAAGAACTTTGTACAGAATTGAAGAATGGCAGAAGCAGTGTTGGTTGATCTCTTTGGTTTGAAACTGAACTCTCAGAAAAACTGTCATCAGACATTATTAAAGACATTGAATGCGGTCAGATACCACCATGGTGCCAAGGCCAAGTTCTTTTGCATAATGTGTTGTAGTAACATCAGCTGTGACCATGATAATTGTGAATTAGAAACAGGCAATGGATTATCAGCTCTCTTGAGAGAATTTGAGACTGTTAGCAATCCCAGCATGGCTGCCTCTTTGTATATAATTAAACAAAAAGTTGATGAAAAAAATTTGAGTAGCATTAAGGTAATTGTGCCTGTGCACCGGAAGACATTAATGAAGGCTTTCATTGACCAACTCTTTACTGATGTTTACAGTTTTGAGTTTGAAGATTTACAGATGACTTTGAAGGGAGGTCTCCTGAAACAGTCTACTGAAGTAAACATAATCACAGCTCAAGAACTAGAAGCAATCCAGAATGAAATAGAAACATACTTGAGAAGTTTGCCAGCACTGAAGGGAGAATTAACCATTATCACATCTCCTTTGATCCCAGGTATGTTAAACACTATCAGTTGTTTTACTTGAATATGAAAAGCCAGTCTTTCTTTACAGGTTGTTCACCTCTTTTTCTTGTTTCTTTTGTAGACTGGTGTGAGATCATGTGTTCCTTAGCATCAGTTATAACATGGGAGTGTAATGCATGGCCTTACAGAGTCACATGTGTGAAGGAACAGTCCCTTCAAAGCCACTCTAAATAAATTCGCTTTATGCAAATTCAGCTTTAAGACAAATCCCCCAGCCTTGGTTTTAAATGAGATTTATGACCCTAAGCATTTCCTACTTAGAAATTCTGAAACCTTAACTCCGTGGTGCCTTCACAGAAGAGTGAAATTTAAAACAGTCAATCTCACTTGTTAGTAAAAGGATATTTACTGTGAGCTATATGCTATTGGCATAACAAAAACTAATGGGAAAAAGATACCCTTTGAAGAGCAGTAATCCCACAGAGAAGGTAAAACAAACTCAAAACATTGTGTCATAAGAACAGATGAAGCTATAAAGAACTGTAGAAATTAGAAGCTGGATAAACTATTGCAGGGTGAGGTTATTATGGAAAGTCCTAATGAGAGACTGGGTTTGTAAGGCTTTACAGTCTTTTGTACAGCCTAGTTTTAATCTTCACTGTTTATCCTCAACAGATACTTTCATACATGGATTTACTACAAGAACAGGTGGGATATCTTACATACCAACTCTTAGCTCATTCAATCTCTTCAGTAGTTCCAAACGGAGAGATCCCAAGGCTGTTGTTCAAGAAAATCTGCGTAGGTTGGGGAAGGCTGCAGGATTTAATGCGAATAAATTTTACCAAATAAAGGTACAATTTTGTTTCATATTTTGGAAGATTTAAAGTATATTCTTGACTCTGCCAATGACTATATGGACTTTAAATAAGCTATTTAATGTTTACATCTAATGTTTTATCTAAAACTTAGGATAATGTTTGTGGTTATTTTTCTTAGAGATACATATCATATTCTAAAGATCAATTCTATGATATACACANATGTGCTACTTTGTTATGCATGTGGAAAAGTTGCAAAATGTATAAGAATTTCATCCATGTATTCAATATAGAAGACTGACTTAGATGCTAGCCATCGCAGATCACAGAGAGAGATGATTTCTGCTGAAATCTTGAAGGGAGAAGTAGAAGAACCATATGTCCCCAGGAGAGGAGCCAGGAGGTGCATCAGCATGAACGCTATGAACAGAGACCTTGGGTCAGAGTTCCAGGAAATGCTGGGCTGCTGAAATCCATTTTCCTGGAAAGTGTTTATGTTCTAAGATACTTGTCTCATGAGTGTGAAGCTGCTGAAGACTGTTTTTCAGAAGAAGCCAAATTCTTCCCTGTGGCATCAGGGGTAGTAGTTCAGGTGAAAGAAATGCCCTCTTCAGTGCTTTGACCTATTGTTGCTTTGTCAGAGAAATAACTAATTTTTCTTAAGGGGTCTGTTAACATGCACTGTTGGATGTGGGAGTGCAAGTTTTGTAGCTTCTCTCTGAGGCAGCAGGCTTTTGTGAGTTCATCTGCATGCATGCATTTGTACACACACAGAGTATTATTTCAGGAAGTAGCTGAGGAATGGCATAGCCAATTCAAAACTACCCCTTCCTCACCCGGTTTTCATGGATAAGGGCCCAAGCATAACCATTGTCAGAAGGGAAGTGTCTCTCTCCCTCTCTCCTCTCTGTGCCCCCTCTTTCCTCTCTCCTCCCTTCTCTTTTTGTGTTTATTCAATCAGGAGCCCTTGGGTTCCGAATTCAGGCCAAGGTTTATGTCCTTGTTTTGTCTCTACATCTGTGAAGACAATTCAGTTCACCCATGTTTTTCATCTAGTAAAATGACCATAATTCTGCTTACCTCTCCTGGTGTTGTGAGGGTCAAAGGAGATTATGCATGTAGTGCAGTTACTGGCTATTTAGTCCCCTGGTATCCCAGGGATGGCAGAGCCCGGTGGGCTGCCGTCTATGGGGTCGCACAGAATCGGACACGACTGAAGTGACTTAGCAGCAGCAGCAGCAGTAACCTTAAACTGGTTATATTATTTTGTACAAAATACTTTCAGAAAAGCTTATGGTATGAGAAATTCTATTTTCAAAACATTTTTATTTCACATCTTTGGTATTAGACTGATCATGCCAATGATGTCTGGATTATGGGAAGGAAGGAGCCTGAATCTTATGATGGAATCACCACAAATCAAAGAGGAGTCACGATAGCAGCTCTTGGTGCTGACTGTATTCCGATAGTTTTTGCAGATCCTGTCAAAAAAGCATGTGGGGTTGCTCACTCTGGTAAGTGTACTTAATCACCTAGGATTTTTACCAAGTTGGGGGGAAAGTTATAATTTTCCCCAAAATTATAAAAGTTATAATTTCTTTCTGATAGACATTGTTTTTGTTCATTCTCTAAGTAATGGTCTGACTGTCTGTGACCTCACGGGCTGCAGTACTCCAGGCTTCCCTGTCCTTCACCATCTCCCAGAGCTTGCTCAAACTCATGGCCATTAAGTCGATGATGCCATCCAACCATCTCATCCTCTGTCATCCCCTTCTCCTCCTGCCTTCAGTCTTTCCCAGCATTAATAGTTAATTACTACCCATGGTGATAAGTGTAAAGATAGAAGAGAGCTAGTAGACTCTTAGGTCAGGAGGAGATACAAGGAATACTTATGTCAAATTATATGACTCAGAGTATAATCCCTAAAGAAAGCAGTTACCTAGATGGTGTGATCACTCACCTAGAGCCAGACATCCTGGAATGTGAAGTCAAGTGTGGGCCTTAGAAAGTATCACTACGAACAAAGCTAGTGGAGGTGATGGAATTCCAGTTGAGCTATGTCAAATCCTGAACGATGACGCTGTGAAAGTGCTGCACTCAATATGCCAGCAAATTTGGAAAACTCAGCAGTGGCCACAGGACTNGAAAACTAAGATCATAGCATGTGGTCCCATCACTTCATGGGAAATAGATGGGGAAACAGTGGCTGACTTTCTTTTTTGGGCTCCAAAATCACTGCAGATGGTGATTGCAGCCATCAAATTAAAAGATGCTTACTCCTTGGAAGGAAAGTTATGACCCACATAGATAGCATATTAAAAAGCAGAGACATTAATTTGCCAACAAAGGTCCGTCTAGTCAAGGCTATGGTTTTTCCAGTGGTCATGTATGGATGTGAGAGTTGGACTGTGAAGAAAGCTGAGTGCCGAAGAATTGATACTTTTGAACTGTGGTGCTGGAGAATATTCTTGAGAGTCCCTCGGACTTCAAGGAGATCCAACCTGTCCATCCTAAAGGAGATCAGTCCTGGGTGTTCACTGGAAGGACTGATGCTAAAGCTGAAACTCTAATACTTTGGCCACCTCATGCGAAGAGTTGACTCATTGGAAAAGATCCTGATGCAGTGAGGGATTGGAGGAGAAGGGGACGACAGGATAAGATGGCTGGATGGCATCACTGACTCGATGGACATGAGTTTGAGTAAACTCCGGGAGTTGATGATGGACAGGGGGGCCTGGCGTGCTGTGATTCATGGGGTCGCAAAGAGTCAGACACGACTGGAGCGACTGAACTGAACTGAACTGACTGAGGCTGATTCCTGGGAGACTTGTAGGATTTGGCTAGGTACCAGTGTTTCTCAGCAGGAATGTTATTAACATTTGGCGCAAGATAGTCACATTGCAGACTAAGTGTGCTTGGCTTTCAAAATTCTTAATGCCAGTTGTACTTATGTAATAACTAAAAAGACAAACCTCTGTGCTTTTCAAAACACTCCCAGGGAGTTGTACTGAGTTGTATTGTCTCTGGTTTGAGAAGTCTACCCTCGAAGTCTGGGTAGTAGGGAATAGGAAGGTTAGACTCGTTGCAGAAGGTATTTTTGAAAATGCAGCAGCAAGTGTAAAGATAAGAAAAAACAAGATATGTTTGGAAAATTGCATTTAGTTTAATATGTTATAGTTGATTAGCTTTAACTATTCTCTGAAAATAAGAACAAAGAATTTTTAGGTGCTATGTTTGTTAAGGTTTTGGAATTTTGTTTGCTGAAGGTTTTTTAAAAATCCTATTATTAGATTATCCAGAGGTAATGAGTCTATGTAAAATGAGGAGTGATCTTTTGGATTATCTTCTGCTGACTAGAAGTCAGGGTTTACTATTTAGCATTGTCAAAGTCATTTAAAATTTGAGTCTTAGTTCCGGGATAAAATGTGAATATTATTTGTTACTTCCTGGGTTTTGAAACATTAAATTTAAAATTATCAAAGATAGATGAAACAGTCTTGAAAAGGAACAAAGTTAGATGTCTCGTACTTCTTGATTTCAATTATAAAGCTACAGTAATCAAAACAGTATGTGTGGTACTGGCATAAAGACAATAGAGCAGTGGAATAGAATAGACATTCCAGAAACAAACACTTGCATTAGGGTCAAATTATTTTTGAAAAGGTACCTAGACTATACAATGGGGAAAGGACAGTTTCTTTAACAAATGGTACTGGCGAAACTGGATAAGCATATGCAAAACAATGTTGGACCCTTATGATATATATATAATATCTAACTCAAAGTGGATCAAAGATCTAAATGTAAGAGCTAAAACTCTAAAAATTATAGAAGAAAGTATAAGTGTAAATCCTTGTGATCTTGGATTAGGCAGTGGTTTCTTAGATACGATACCAAAAGCACAGCAACAGAAGTAAAAATAGATAAGTTGGATTTTATCAAAAACAAAAATTTCTGTGCCTCAAAGAACACAGTCAACAAAGTGAAAAGTCAGCTCAACAGATAAAGAGTAAATATTTGCAGTTCATACATCTAATAAGTTAATATTCAGAATACAAAAAGAATACCTACAATTCAACAAAAACAGACTAAAAGATTTGATTGAAAAATGGGTAAAGGACTTTAGTAGGTCTTTCTCCAAAGATGATACGTAAATGGTCAATAAACATGTGAAAAGATTCCCAACATCACTAATATGGAAAAGCAAATCAAAACCACAGGATATCACCTCACATCCATTAGAATGGCTGATATTTTTAAAAAATGAAAATAAGTTTTGGTGAAGAGAAATGGAAACCATGATGCACTATTGGTGGGAGTATAAAATTGATGCAGCTGCCATGAAAAACAGTATGATGTTTCCTCGAAAGGTTTTAAATAGAATTATCATATTATCCAACAGTTCCACTTCTGAACATATATCCAAAGAGTTAAAAGCAGAATGTCAATAGGATATCTACATACCCATGCTCAAAACAGAAATTATTCACAATAACTAAGAGGTAAAAGCACCCTTAGGAAAAATACATAAACTGACCCTGCTCACTTTTAACTTAGATACAAATTAAGATGACATTTTGTTATGTTTTGACTTTGCTTCTCTCTCTTTCTTCCTATTTACTAGGTTGGAAAGGTACCTTGTTAGGTGTTGCTATGGCTACAGTGAACGCTATGAGAGCAGAATACGGCTGCAGTTTGGAAGACATTATTGTTGTACTGGGGCCTTCAGTTGGACCGTGCTGTTTTACTCTTCCAAGGGAATCAGCAAAGGCATTTCATAATCTTGATCCTGGATGCGTACGGCTGTTTGACTCACCAAATCCCTGTGTTGACATCCGTAAAGCCACTAGGTATGCTTGATCTCAGGCTTCCCTGGTGGTTTAGTAGTAAAGAACTTGGCCTGCCAATGCAGGAGATGTGGGTTTGATCTCTGGGTTGGGAAGATTCCCTGGAGAAGGAAATGGCAACCCACTCCAGTTTTTTTGCCTGGGAAATCTCATGGACAAAGGAGCCTGCAGGCTGTAGTCCATGGAATCACAAAAGAGTCAGACAGGACTTAGCGATTAAACAATGACGATTGATTTCAGTCCAGAACTGTAATGGTGAAATCTGCCATTTCCTGTTGTGGCCCTGCTCTGTAACTGACAACTTGCATTGTTCCAAGCAGATCTTTCCCAGAGTTCTTCTACACTAATATCAATGCTTTTTCCATATTGCTTTGTCTGTTGGTAAAGTAAACTTTCTGTCTTTGGAAAAATCTTTATCTTAAGGATTCTTCTTGAACGGGGAGGAATTCTGCCACAGAATATTCAGGACCAGAACCAGGATCTCAACCTCTGTACGTCTTGTCATCCTGACAAGTTTTTTTCCCATGTCCGAGATGGCCCTAACTTTGGTACACAGATTGGCTTCATCTCAGTTAGAGAATGAGGTACAGTAGCTTCTCTCTCCCTGCTCCCCCTCCCTTCTCCTCCCTGCTTCACCTTTCCCTCCCCTCATTTTGAAAAATAATTATATTTAACTTCACTCCTTTATTCCTGCAGGAAGAATTAATTTTTTACTTTTTAGTGAAACAATAATGGTAGAACAGTTCATTTTCAGTGATGTACTCTAATATAAAAGGGCAGTATAAGTACATATAAGAGTATAAAAGTAACACAATTTTTCATTAAAAAATCCTTTTTGGATGCCATTTAACTCTCCTATATACTTGACATCTATTTCTATCATAACATCTTTATAATTTTTAAGAAGAAATCCTTGCATAAAAAAACTAAATTCTAGAGTAATGATACATACACAGCCCAGCCTAGTTTTACATCCAAACTTCCAAATAATTATCTGTAGCAGGAGTTGGTCAACTTTTTAAAGGTCTAGATAGTACACATTTTAGGTGTTGTGGGACACATCATCTTTGTCTCAGCTAAACAACTCTGCTTTTGTAGAACAAAAGCAGACAGAAGCAGAAATGAATGAATATGTCTGTAAAATTCTTTTGACCAAAAAAACAGGTGAGGGGCCAGATTTGGTCCACAGGGTATAGTGTACTGACACTTGAGCTACAATCATAGAGCAGGATTGAGTGTAATTTCATTAAATTAGTATTTCTTAGAGATGGATTTTTTTTGTTATGCAAAATTTTGTGACAGTGATATGGCACTGACTCTTTAGCATATATCTGATTTTCCTTAAGGTTATTTTAACTGAATATTGTTTTTAGTCTTTACAATGTCTTTAACTCTTTAATATACAAAAGACTTTAATAAATTTAGTGATTCGTTTTTTTTTTTTGGTGATTCTTTTAATAGCACTACTAATGGCCTCATATTTGATTTCTATGTATTTTTACAGATACTTGACTGGATTTTTGCATAACTATTTCCTGCTTCCTTCCAAACTGACTGTAAGAGAGAAATGTAGCTGTTTGATATACTTAAAATCAAAAGGATTACAATGAATAATTCATCTTTCAGATATACTTTCATTATTATCCAAAGCCAAATGATTTATTGATTTTAACAATAACTGACAAAATCAATATGATATAGTTTTAATGTTATACAGATAAGAATTATTCTTAAAGTTTGTCCTCTGTATTTGTTACATACATCAGGAATAAGTATTCAGTTTAGTATTTATTGGGTAGCCTTTATTTGTCAAGCATTCTGTGAATCATAGATGAAATGAAGATGAGTAATACTTTTTCCCTTTGAGTCTGATGCATTGGAAGAGATAAACATTCTTAAGTTTAATTTTAATAGCAGAAGAGCATAGGAGAAGAAGGATTAATTCTATCTGGAACACAGACTGGAGAAGGTATTACAGAGAAAATGACTTATCACATGGATCTGAAAGACATATAGACTTTAGACAAAGAACAACCGTAACAGGTTAAGGGAATACCATAAACTAGGGCGTGAAACTGAAAGTGTTCTAAGAAAGAAGAGGGTGTGGGTAGGAGTTACTGGGAAAACAGGTTAGAAACAAATTAGGGTCTTGAATGCTATGTCAAAGAGTTTGGAGTTTATTTTCCAGGCAAAGAGTAAGCATAGAAAGTAGGGGAGTGTTTTTTATGCCCTTGGCATTATATTTAACAGGATGGATTTGTGAGAGACTAAAGCAGAGAGATTAGTTAAAAGGCAATCAGAATACTTTAAACAAGATATAATGAAGCCCAAATGCAGTGGAAATTAAAATTGAGATGAGAGTAAGTGAAATAGTATGACATTTCAGAGACGGAATCTGCAGATCCTGTTCTTGGAGCATGGAGGTGAAAGGTGAGGACCAGTGGAGAAAATCCCTGTTTACTCCACAGTCTCTGCTTGATTACTACCTGGAGTGGCAGCAAAGATGGGGAGGAGGTTTGGGACACGGGAGGAATAATGAATTTGACACATAGACTGAAGTGCTTCCAGATGGAAATATGTGGTCAATAACTAGATAGAGACCTGGAACCTGGGAAGGAGCCATGAAGAAAGAGAGATTTGGGAGTTGGCTGCACAGAGATAGTGCCTGGGTCTACTGGAATAGGCTGGGTCATCTTCACAGAAACAGAGTGAGAAAAAAGGAGGTCCAAGGATGAAACTTTACACTACTGCATTTGAAGAGCCAGAAACTGAACCAATAAAAAAGACTAATCTAGAAAAAAAAAAATGACCCCATAGACTGTAGCCCACCGGGCTCCTCTGTCCATGGGATTCTCCAGGCAAGAATACTGGAGTGGGTTGCCGTTTCCTTCTCCAGGGGATCTTCCCGACCCAGGGATCGAACCCAGGTCTCCTGCATTACAGGCAGACCCTTTAACCTCTGAGCCACCAGAGAAGCCATAAATATGAGAGGTACTCAAAGAGAAATCTACAGGGAGTTCCCTGGCGTAGTGGTTAGGATTTGGTGTTTCCACTGCGGAGGCCTGAATTTGATTCCTGGCCGGGGGTGGGAGGGATCATCCTGCATGCCGCTGGTTGCCGCCAAAACACAAAAATAAATGAGAAGAAACTAGTAGATTAATAACTGTGTTGAGGCTGTTCTGTGGGTCATTATGGTGATGGATTTCAGTGCTTTGAGGAAGAGGATGCACCAGTGTCAACTCTACTTTGCTAGTATTTATTGAAGTAAGTGAAGTCACTCAGTCGTGTCCGATTCTTTGCAACCCCATGGACTGTAGCCCACCAGGCTCCTCTGTCCATGAGATTTTCCAGGCAAGAATATTGGAGTGACTCTCCATTTCCTTCTCCAGAAGATTTTCCCGACCCAGGGATTGAACCTGGGTCTCCCGCATTGTAGGCAGACGCTTTACTGTCTGAGCCCCCAGGGAAGTCCAGAGAACGTAAAACACCAGGGGCTGTGTTTTGATACAAGGGGCGTGTATACACACACACACACACACACACACACACACACACATATATGTACATATATATTTTGTTGGGGGGGTAATGAGTAGTTTTAAGTGTATGTGTAGACTGAAGAGAAAAGGTGTTTTCACTTGGGAAAAATGGTATGGTACCTGTTTTTAACATGAATTTTGTCACAATGAATCTTAAAAGGATTTCTTATTTCATATATTTCTTACCTGAATATGCAGAAAATTATATTTGTTTGGTACTTCTCACCCATTACCTCATTTTACCTTTACAGGTACTCTGAAGTACATGGGGTCAGGTGCTATTCCTTTTATTCAGATGACCCTTGATGAGTTAGAGACTGAAATCACATAAATTGTGATAAAGTAAGATTTGAACCTATGTCTTATGACCCAAATCTCATTTCAGATTTTAAGTTAATCAAAGCTATCTAAATTAAAATTTTATTTTGTTAATATCAGTATTCTTATAGACAGTCAAAATTTTGTTGAAGTGCTAGGGTAGATTAAAAAATACATTTGTAGCCCACGTTTTTTTAATATCCAGTGAAAGGTGACAATACAACAACAATTTCAATACTGTGATATGTGTTGTATAGTTGTGACAACCTGATACCTTGTTTAATTCTTTTATGAAACTCATGAGAAATTTATATAAAATACCTCACTTCAAAGTAAGAAAGACAAGATAAATATTGGGTACTAACGCATATATATGGAATCTAGAGAGATGGTACTGATGAATTTATTTGCGGGGCAATAGTGGGGAAACAGACATAGAGAACAGACTTAATGGACACAGGTGGGGGGAGGAGAGGGTGAGATGTGTGGAGAGAGTAACATTGAAACTTACATTACCATACGTAAAACAGATAGCCAATGGGAATTTTCTGTATGTGTCAGGAAACTCAAACAGGGGCTCTGTAACAACCTAGAGGGGTGAGATAGGGAGGGAGATGGGAAGAAGTTTCAAGAGGGAGGGGACATATGTATACCTATGGTTAATTCATGTTGATACTTGGCAGAAAACATTTTGTAAAGCAATTATACTTTAATTAATAAATACATTTAAAAAGATACCTCATATCTTCCAATTCAGGGAAGCCATTGAATACAAATTATAAGAGCAATTTCAAACTCATGCAAAATACTCTTTTGTTTCATGATAACAATAAGATTAAAGAATAATTCCATTGAGAAAGATGAATAATTTTCCAATTTTTGTCACTCTATATTAATCTGTTGAATGAAGAGTATTAGGCAGTCATGTTTTACTTTATGTACCAAAATATTATACTCCAAAGCCAAATAAAAAATTATTTTTGAAAAAAAATTATGTTCGATTATTTATGACTTTGGATTATCTGTGTCAAAGCATATAAAAAGAAGTTGTCTCCTTGCAGTTTTACTGAGTGAGAAGTACTGATTCAATAACTCAGAAACAGACTGTTAAATAGTCATGTATTATTGCCTCTACAAGATTCTCATGTTTAAGCATTTGTACATAGGTTTCTGGGACTTTCAGGGTGTAACTACAATGATGACTTTGAGTAAGTTTTGTTCTGTTTTCAATCTCAGTACTGCTGCTAACTGTACATGGAAAATACAAGTTGTCATTTTAGTGAGATGATAAGTTTTAAAATCAGAGTTCAGGACATCATTTTTTAGAGGTACTAGTTATCAAACTAAAATTTATCTAATTTGAAATTCTGAGGGGTAGCATAGTGACTAAATATGCTATACTCCATTGCTTTACAAAGCAATGCAAATAAAAAAAAAAGGTCTTTCCGTGACGAGGCATTAGCTCTGCTACTTTGTACAAGTAGCTCTGCTCTGTTTCTTGGCATAAAGTTGAACCAGTCTTAACCTATGTGTACAAAGTACATGTAAAGCTCTTACTTTAGATACAACTTCTTTACACTTTCAAGTAGATAAAAACATTTAGGAATCCTCACCTGCCTGGGTCTCACTTCTACAGAATCTCCAGTAACTGCTTTTCTGTAAGTTGATTTTGGGGAAGGAAATTCAGAGAAGCTTATTCTGTGTCATGTGGCAAACACATAATACCCATGGGTTCAGAAGCTGGAAATAAGAGGACAATGACATGTGAATTACATCATTTTATATCTCAAAGTAGGATTTTATATTTGTTTTCACCTGTTTTTCCTGAAGTTATCCTTCCAATGTATCCATCCTACTACTTTATGTGAACTTTTAGAGAATGCCATCAATCTGTAGAAGTCCACTCGGTTATCTGTGTATTTGTGTGTGTAGACATGGATCTGTCTGTGTGCTAAATAGTAAATGAGAAATATCTACGTGCCATGTAAGATACATAGCCTCTTTGCCCTAGCTAGTGTAAATTCACACAAAATACATTGGATGCAGTGGAATCATAGATTTCTCTGTATAAAAATTCTGTGAATCGTGCAGTAAAGAATGGAAGCGTGGTCTCTGGGCTCACTGTAATGTTTGTGGGAACTTTGGCCTAGAGCATGCCTGTTTCCATTGTAGGCAACGTTTTAAACTTTACTTGTGATGGCAGAGATGAGGCAGCTACTGTAAGTAATGCACTGTTCCGTGCTAGGTCATCATGTAACTAAGGAAGAGGAAATCAGCCAGTACTGTTTTTTCTGAATTTAATAACATTTAGTTTGGACTCACAATGATCACACATCAGTTACGTGGAGACAAACTTCTCATACTCTCCCTACAGTTGCATTTTCTTTGTAGAAAAAGATATGTCACACCCCACTGTGTTTGTGTCAGGGGCCTGAGGTGAACTATGTCCTTTCTGTATCTGGAGCAAGCTTTTTTATTTAATTCTCAGAAGGCTGGGGTGTCCAGTTACTGTATCTTGTTAAGCAATTAAAATTTCTAGCCGATTCAGTAGCTCAAACTACTACAGTCCTTTCTAACAAT